AACATTTCCATTGCATTAGAACCTTATGGGATGGTAATAATTCTTCCAGGCAATAGAAAGGACCTCAGGTGTTACTATGGAAAACGAGGTATAGCTTGTAAAAAACTTGATTTTGATTGCAAAACATAAAATAATGATCTATTTTTTTTGTTTGGCAAGTGACCATGGTATAAGTGGGAAAACTCTCAAAGAAACCAAAGCTAAAGAAAAGAGTTCATGGTAAAACATCAGAAGTCTAGTTATTGTTGTATTTAAAGAATTACAGTGTCAAAGGCAGAATTAAAAGACAATGATCATCTTTGTCCATGAACAAAATGGTAAGTCCATCAACATTTACATATCAGACAGGAGGAAAATGTAAATGGCTACATAGTTGGAGAGACACACTAGAGGAAGCACCAGGGGGATAAATATTTCAGCCAGTCAGGACAAGATGTTTTTCCAGAAGCAAGAAGTGTCTGGGCATAAATGGCGACTAATTCTCCCCATGAGGTGAATATCTGCTTTAGCACGCTGCAGTGCTTCAGCAGGGCTTTGCAGTGAACAGCATGTTACATGTACAAATTGGTACTCTCACTTTCCCCAGTGGTTTTTAGAGAGAGCTCTGTGAATCGTGGATGGTGGGTTAAGAGGCCAAAGTACACACTTATTTTTACTAAATAACTCGAGCAGCAGCCCGCTGCCTTCCATTTGGTCTGACAGACAGGCTCATGCAGAGTTCCAAATAGCTTGCATGAAGTCTCGCCATGAAGTCGTCGGCCCAGGTTCTTAAAGACCCGATCCTTAATCCAAATTGCAACCACAAGCTTTACACTGGGCCACTGGGAAACATGGGAACTAGAGCTATTTTTTAGAGTGATAGATTTAGCGCTTGACGTCTGGAGTTGACAGAGTGTAACACAAGGATGTATTAATGTTTTTGAAACCACTAGAATAGATATTTTTTCCATTTATACTTTGGTCAAATGGACCTTTTTTTTTAACCAATTTACGGGATTTGTTATTACAACTCATTGTGCCATAATCCAAATCCCAACCTTGTAACTAAAGCAAAACTCTTAAAGACTCCATCAGTGTGTATAATGTACTTAATCTCTCTGATTAAATGCTCAAATTAAAAGCTATCTTAATAATAAACTGTACTATATATTTATGAAATACTTCTTAGTACCCATCCCTTTGTCCAAGGTACAATTTAAAAAAACTGACTTAGTGTTAGGTAACAAACTTGAACAAGTAGAAATAGAAGAATTTTGCTTGTGGCACTGGGGAGTACCGATGCTAAATGTAGCAACCACTAATCGAATACTTGATTACTCCTGCCCATCCCTAATGGAAAGCAAAGGAATAACCTATAGTTTCACTTTTTCACTTCCCTCAACCAAACCACAAGGCGCCCTTGAACAAGGCACTTAACCTCTAGCTGCGTCAGTGGCCAACAGAAGAGAGGCTGAACAGGACAGCTCCAAGTGGCCAACAGTAGGAGACTGTGGTTGTATTGTGCAGCTCCCAGGTGTGAATTTGTGCAGCTGGGTGAATGTGAAACAGGCTGTTGCTGGAAAAGAACATGGTGTTTGGTTGACTGTCCCTGGAAGACAGAGGTTAGGTAAAACTTAAAAAAACAAAAACAAAAGTTGGCTTGCGTGTGTGGTCTAATTTCTTGGCCATATGCAGGAAGTTCTTCAAGTGTGTCATAACTAAATGTTAATTTAATGTCCTGTCATGAACTTGGTGGGATAGACACCGCGAGACAGACAGGAAAAAATTTGGTTTGGTAGTTGTTATGGTCAGATGTTCTCCCTTTCTCAGCCTGAGCTCTCTACCCTGCAGCGAGGAGATGGACACTAATGAAAAAAGTTGGACAGCAGACAGCACTCTGTTCTGTTGTTTTGCACAAACAGGGTTCTGGTTCTTTGGCCTCAATTATATAAAATGCTTCGTGATTTATTCTAGATTTAATTTGATGGTTATTGCAAAGACTATTCCAAAGAACAAATGGAAAAAAATGGTTATTGCAAAGACTATTCCAAAGAACAAATGAAAATATATCCACCACACTTACCTCTGGGTAATAATTGGATTCCGGTTTAGTTTGAAATATGACAGGGAATTGGAGAGATCAATGTAATGTGTTGATGTTGATGTGAGCATGCTTTTATAAATCACGTCTCTGGATTTGATCTGGTTTTGTGCAGAATATTTTTTTTGCATGAGAGACTTTCATAAATAAGGCTTCTGCTGTTCAGATGTTGAAAGCACAACTCAAAAGTCACAGTAGGTGTGTACTTCTACGCAGTGATGTAACTCCTGCAGTGAATCTTGCCAGAGTTCCTGTCTATAAGCTCCTGACCCTCAACTAAGAACAACATGAACAGACGCAGGAGAGCAAAGTGTCGTAAAAAACTGGGCCCAGCGGACTAACAGTAGTGTAGGTCTTCTGGAAAGGTCCTGACCCCACCATGTTGAAAATGTTGATGTGTGTGAGTGCTTCGACGTGCCTGCATGCATGTGTGTGCGCGCCCATGGATCCCAACTCGCAACTTTCTCAGGCAGAGAGAGAATTAATGTCAGGATGACATTTCGCTGGCATTTGTGGAGCACTGAACCATTTTTATGTTTGGGATCTGGGTTTTTGATATCTCCCCTCCCCAGTCTCTCTGAGCTCTTGGCCAGGTATTCAGATTGTGGGACCCTATATGTGTGCAGCTGCTGCTGGCCAGTAGGGCCAGAGGTTTCTCGAAGCCAGCTGCTGTCACGACACAAATTTCTTGTCGAGAGCCAATTCTAGAGTGATGGCCAGGTACACTGCAGATTCTGGCATGACAATAAAGAAAAGGGAGAGGAAAGGGGAAAGAAGGACAGAGAGAGGCAAGGGTGGAGAGGGAGAGATTGGGTGGTGAGGGACATCATGTCCATTTATGCTGAGCCACATGTCTAACCAAAAAATGTTAGCAAATCCTGGACAGTTCACTTGTGTGCCAAGAGCTCCAGGCAACTCCCCTGAAAGAACAAACCATTCCAACTTTGTTTGACACTTTAGGTGCGTGTGAATCTTAAGTTTTATTCTGGTCAAGTTTTATTGTGGTCATGTTTTACTCGCTAATAAAAACATAGCTGCAATGTTTCCCAGAACAGATTCACTTCTGTCTCACAGTTGATCCATTGATGTTGCCAGCCTTATGCCTGCTTTATGCCTTCTATGCTAGTGAGCGTGTACCACAGCATGCAAACTCACAAGGCCATTATATTGTAATGGACCAGTTGCTGGTCCATTAGTTGCTGTTGCTACACCTGGCATGACATATATAGTTTATAATCATGACTGTTGCATATTATATTATCAAAATTATATAAAAAAAAAATGTAAACAATGGATCCTTGATTTCAGACAAAAGGTAGCCAAAAGCAGCTTTTCAGTAGTTCTAGCAGGCGACCATTGATTTTGCGTGCTGAAATGACAACTGTCGAAGTAGATTTTATAAGCTGTAGCTTGCTAACTAATTAAGCTTACTTAAGTTCCATGAGTTGAACATTCCGTCTCCAGCTGACTTTTTAATGTTTCCAGCTGCCACATTTTAATACGCAAACTCTGTTTGTGTGTTTGATGGCTATATACATGGGTTGCTAGGGAAATTTCCTAATAATCCAAATCCAATAAATAGAATACAGTAAAGAGCCGCTAACGTTACCAGAAACACTGGCAGCATCCTGGATTGGCTTCCTCAGAGTCAGGAAATACTACTCTGTGGTTGAGCTATCATGAAGAAGGCTTTAAAAAAAAGAAATTTTACAACACAAAATAATGTACAATGAAATTCTCCTCGGGTTTGGAAAAACCAAAAATTGGGGGGATTGTTGTTTTTGGGCTAAAATGTCTGATTTCACAGCAGGTTTTTAAAAATATTGCAATGCATGTTGCTATGTTTTTTGGTATTTGTTTCCAATGCAGGGGAATAGTTGTGATTTCTTTGTATAATCACAAGTAGTTTGTTGACGTATGACTCAATGGTTTACAATGATTAGTCAAATTGGCATAAATTGTGGTGATTGGACGAAAGTGCAAGGTTGCTCAGAATTCACAGGGGTTGCGCTAATTGTTGCAATCGCAAGTTCCTGGAGGGACTGTAATGTTAGGTTAGATTACCGTTTGTTAGCTTGATATGCTATTGATTGCATCTTATGTTGGCGCAGACAAACAAAATGTTAAATCCATTCTGAACATGTTATATGTGTTTATAGAGATTAGCCAAAATGTGTATTTCTTGATATTCTCACTCATCAAGTTGCTTATTGGACTGCAGAGGCAGTCTTGGCCAGGACATATGAATTCCAATTAGCTACACTTGTACAAGTGCCCGGAAATTAGGGCAGGCTATCATCAACTGATTTTTTTTTTTTTTGGCGAGGCCAAAATCAAATTCTTACTACACCTACAACAGCACAGTGCTCACTGCTTCCACTTACTGAGAAAACCAAAGCTAGACAGGCCTGCCATGCCTAGTTACGTTACTAAGCTACGATTGGACAACAGCTGGTTAGAGGAGGGGTTTAGCATTGACCCATCTGGCACAGGCCTCCACAAATTTGAAACGCTGTTGCATGCAAACATGGCGTTATGTTACATGGGGCTCGTAGTGGGTGACTGGATCTTTGGATGTGCTAGTACGCTTCTGCACCAAAGCACTCATGCAATAAAGGTGACTTCTAATAGATTACCTGTGAGTGCTGGTATCTTCTCCTAGCACTGCATTCATCAAGACCTGTGAAGCAACTGTTTGGATTGTAGTTGGATTGTAGAAAGTGAAGTGCACAGTTAAGTATATAATATGTTAAAATGTTTGACTGCTTTTGGTGTGATATTTTTAGTGTGTGTCTTCTGATTCTTGATCGTTCAAAGTAACTGACTTGTCAACAATAATATTTAAAGTGGACACACATCTACAGTTTTGCACAGTGACAGTGCTAGTGCTGACTCTGCTGTTGATTCACACAGTGTTGACTTGCCCACAAATGGTAATTTTGTTAATTCATAACCAGGGTTTTCACTTCAATCATCTAGAGCCATTTATTTTTGCCAGGTTGGCCTTAGACTTCCATTGAGGCATCCTCTGAGTCTCAGAAGTTGAAGAGTCAACTCTTTAGTGGTCAACTTTCTGTCACTTGTAATTGCAGAGCCTACGGTGATGGATACTGCATGCAGCCTCGGCTGAACTCAGCTTCAGTAATGTAGCGAGAGCGGGGTTTCCCTGAAGCATCTTAAATCTTAAACCTCATTTAGTCAGGCAAAGTGCCTGAGAAAACACTTTCTTATTTACAGTACAACACATGCACTCAGGGAGGGATTGCATTAGACGGGAGGATTACACACATGCAGGTCTCTTGGCTGCTGAGTAACACCTTTGGACCAATTTAGAGGTGAAGTGCCTCACTTAATAGTACATTGACAGTAGTGCATGGGAGGATGGGGATTACTGCTTTCTTATTTCATCCACCTAGATCTTTCCCAGCTGAAAGCTAAGATCTTACGGTCACAAGCTCACCTGTCTAACCTCCAGGCTGTTGGAACAATGCAAGCAGCGCTGAGCCAAAGCTAAAGAGTATTTTTAATGAGCAATTATATAAATTATATGTCTTATGAAAGAAACAAGCACTTTTAAACCATTTAAGATTGAAGCACAGTTAAGCAATATTAATAAATTTAGCCCTACAGCTGAGCTTGATCAAAAGCATAAACCTTAACTTATTTTTAAGAAACCAACATAAAACAAATCATCCAATCAATATACCTGGAGTTACTTAGGTAAAGATTAAAGCATGGCTTAGTAATTTTAACAAAGTTAGCCCCACAGCTGAACTTGATCAATCACATAAAACCTTAACTCGAACTTGAGAAATACAACATGAAACAATAATCCATTACGTTATGATCATTGTAAAACACTTAAATCCCAAGCTATGACTGTGCAAGATGAAAGAAAACGAGGCTTAACAAACAAAGTGATGTATGATTCATACATTTAACAAAACTGATTTGCCCCAACGCTATACTGATGCACCAGTGCAAGACCCATACGCTGACTTTTTTTTTTCGTCGAGCAGTTGTAATGCGGCAGAAAACATGGGAGTCTCAGCTATAATCCCTAACTGTCTGGCATGCACAAATTGGGCAGCCAGTGAGTCCCCACTGCAAGCCTCTGAGACCCAGCGAGGCCTAACCGGGATAGGTGCAAAAGCTTTCCAGCTATGAAAGCAAAGGAGGAAAATGACATGTGACATCACCACAGTCAAAGAAAAACAAAGTCGGCTTTACACATCAAAGTGCCTCCAGGGTAATTAATCACAGTCAGAGAGAGAGGTGAGGGAATGGTGGGCTGCGGGGGGACAGTGGTTTGAAGTACCCTGACCAATTCAAACAATTATTATTTGGAAGCTACATACAGGCAAGGGCAGATGTTGATGGACTGAAGCAAACTGTTGCCTGCTAAAGAGAAACCCTACACCAGGATTAAAATTCACTCTCACAATACTAAGCTGCATCGCCTTGAGCAGGAATTACGTCTCACTCTTCTCCATGCTGAAAAGACCAGTGTGTAGGATTTAGTGGCATCTAGTGGTGAAGTTGCAAATTGTAACTAACCGAAAACCACTCACGTCTGTATTTGACGACCTGGGAATCATAACAAGCTGTGAACTGTGTAGGAGGAACTATGCTGGCCGCAAAACTCATATGAAAGCCCCTATCTACAGCCAGAGTTTGGTTTGTCTGTTCTGGGCTACTGTAGAAACACGGTTCAACATGGATGACTCCATGGAATGTGACCTGTGGCTGCGTAGTATAAAAGTAACTCATTCAATTCCAAAAATTCAGGTGATTATACACAAATAAAAAAAAACCTATGAATATTATATTCCATTTGTATAATAGATCCTCCTAAATGTTACACACTGGACCTTTAAAGGGATAATCATTTCATACAATTATTTGCCCAGCACATTTTTAACTTAACTTAGCATAAAAGCTAAAATGCTAGTTAGCCATTCTAACACTAGTCTAGCTCCAAAGCTGTAATATTATGCATTGCAGCCTGTCTATACTATATTGTTCTGTTGTAGATGCAACAAAAATGAATAGGAGATGCCTGTTAGTCAGTGTACTTTGTGGCTAACAGATTTTCGTTTTGAAATGAGAAAACCAAAATCGGGAAAAGCTGTTTTCCATTTTTTTTGTTTTGAAAAGGAAAACCAGAAAACAAGAAATGGAAAACTTCCCTTTGTCCATTTTCTGTTTTGAAAATAAAAAAAAATGAAATAAAAAGATGACCCAATTTGTTGCCCGTATGGTGGTCTGGAGACAGCTAGTTTGACCCCAATCAGTCGCTGGAACACACTTGCAGTGTCCTGAGAAGAGGTCTAATCAGGCTTAATAAGTGGAAACACGAGTGTGTGTGTGTGTGTGTGTGTGTGTGTGTGTGGGGAACATGGCTGTGTAGGTCCTTTAACTGACTTGGTAAGAAAACTGAGGTTTAAGGGCAAGCTGCGTGGACTGGAGCATACAGACAACAACAGTTAGGTTACCGCAGCAACTGCAAGCAGCAGGTTGTGTCCTGTGTTGTTTGTGAAGTTGGTAGATTCGTACACTTAGCTAGCTAGCTAACTGAAGGAAAAACATCTATGCCCTGTGGATATATTGGTGTTTTTTTCTTTACCTTTTACCCTTTTCTCTGCTCCCAGTGCTAAGCTAGGCTAAATATGTCCTGACCCAAGCTCTCGAACACACAGAGATAACTCCAGTTATCTTAAGGTTGGTAGATTCACAAACTTAAATATTCTCTCTCAATATATCTGGTGTATAAGTCCAGGTTTAGAGTTCTCACTTTCCCATTAGCCCACTGTATTCACATGCTAAGGAAAAACAGCCTGTTTAGAGTATTCTCTCTCTCTAATATTTTCACATGTCTCTTTTTCCATTTCTGCAGGGCCTATATGAGTGTGAAAGAGCTAAAGGAGGAGCTACAGCTGAGCGGCACTGACACACTCAATGTTTTCTTTGCCAGCAACTCGGTGCGTGAAGAGCTGGCAGGATCTGCAACCTGGCCTTGGGCGAAGGAGGCTCTTACCCACCAAGGTAAGTGAAACTACATGAAACTACTATATAATATATAGTAGTATATATTATATAGAAATGTCATCTCTCCACGTCTCTTGCTTCTGTCGTTATTGCTTTTTGTCTTTTAATCTGTTATTTACTTTATACCGTTTTCTCAGTTTTCTGTCTTCCACTTTCTTCTTAGTTTTGTCATTATTTTGTTCTTTCTTTTATCCCGTTCCTCTTTCTCTTTTAATCCATCCCTTCATGTCTTCCCTCGCCCTCCATCCTTTGTTGTCTTCTTTGGCAATGTCCAAACAAGATGGGGTGAGCAATTGGCGCTGGCAGAGATTTTCCCGGCACATTGCCTCTTTCCTCTTCCAATCATTAGGCCCCTTTCCACTGGAAAAGGCTAATCAACCCAACAACAACCAAACAAACAAACATCAGTGTGGGCTCTGTACCATTGTTGCCACCCATGCCCACTTGCCAGCTGTTATTTATTTATTCATGCACTTTTCTTCTTGTGCCGGAACAAAGTAGTGAGTGCACACAGAGGAATAGGGGTATCATTTCTGTACCCAAAGGTACATCTGGAAGAAAAGTACCCTGTAAGGTATGAACAAGGTCCTTGAGGTGTGGCTGTGGACCTGTGTTTAATTTTAAAGGTACAAAATCATGTCTGACAGTAAGGGGTACGTAATTCTACTTTTAACAAGGTTAAGGTACAGGAAAATGGTACAGAAACAAAAAGCAAACCAGTGATCACAAAATCTTGATTTAAATAGAGAGTTCAGAGGTTTATTGAAAGAAAATAGGCTACTAGTAAATCTCCACTTAATTCTTGGTCTGCGTGGCCTGGGAATAATTATTGAATGGCAACTTTTTAATTTTGCCAGACTGACGCAAGTTCACAATGGACCTATTTGAGTGATGTTGTAGCTAATTGTCAGTGTAGCCGAGTGAAATGCTTCCACTAGCCATTACCATTACTTAAAATTTTATTTTATGTAAGCATTAGCACTGTTTTATTATCAATCTATTTTCTGAAGCTTACAGAGGTTAAAACTTAATTTAGACCGTTACAGCATTCACTTGTTAAATGTGTTCTAGTTGAGCAATACAATGAAGACGTAGTGATTGTAAATTAATTGTTATTTCTTTAAATACATTTTGGTGATGAATTGTAAATGAGCAGTGTTGGAGATTTTTGGTTAGAGAAGCGATCTTGGGACCGGAAGGTTGTTTGTTCAATCCCCATAACTGGCAGTTAAGTCTGGGTGGGCCTTGAGAAAGGCCCATAACCCCATCTGCTGTGGTTGTACTGGGCATCTTCCAGGTTTGAATGTGTAGCAGTGCGAATAAAAAAAAGGATAAAAAACAATTTTTTTGTGCCCAGGGGTACAGAAATTTTCTTTTAGAGGTACAGAAAAGAAGGTGCAAAAATGTACCATGTACATGGTACAGTGCTTGTACCCTGCTAGGGTACATCTATAGCGACAAAGCTTTTGTACCCTTTCGGTCCATTGTTGTACCTTGAATTCTTAGTGTGTGGAATCAAGAGTAGTAGACGCATGGGGTAGATGTACCTCTTTACTCCTGTGATCTGTCCAGCATCCATATCCCTGCTGCATGTCGAAGTGTCCTTGAGCAAGACACTGAACCCCAAGTTTCCGTTCTTGTGAGCAGTTGGCCCCTTGCATGG